GGGATGGGATGATCTTTAAGGTCTCTTCCCACCCAAACCATTCCATGACATGATTCTATCCTACAACAAAAACAATTCCAGCCTCCAGGCAGCACCTTCACTGGCCCCTCTGCAGCACCTTCAGGCCCAGCATCTAAAGGGTTAATGGAGATTTCCACAGAGGACCAGCTGGGCCAACCCACTGAGCTCCTCCTGCTCCCACCCTCAGCTCCCATCGCCAGCTGGAGGCCAGGGAATTGCTGAGGAAGGAATCCATCCTCACCCAGGGCAGGAAATGTCCTGTCCCCTGCCCCTGCATTCCTCCTCCTGCACAACCTCTGCTCAGGGTGGCACAAAGCTGGGTCTTGTTTCCTCCACAGCATCCAGGAAAACCAAGGGATGCAGCACAAATCCCCAGGGATCAGTTCAAGCTCATTATTGCCTCTAAGATCCCACAGCAAGGAGGAAGGATAGTTATCAGTGCTGAACACAGACATCCTTAACATCACTTTTGAAGCCCCAGAGTTAAAGGCCCCCTTTCTCTTCCCAAATGTTCTTTTCCCACAATGGAATCCAGCACTTTGGCAGTTTTACTTCCCTCACTCTAAAGCTGGGTGACTCGTGGCAGTGTCCCAGTGCTACAAAGATGTATCCAAGCTCAAGAATCTCTAGACCAGAACTTAGGGAAAGAAATCCTCCCACTGCCTCTCAGAGCAGCAACCCATCCCAGGGTTGGGGTGTCCCACAAAGAGGCTGTGGAAGGGTTAGAAAGGCCCATGCACAGGAAGCAGCACCTCAGAGGGGAAAGCAGGAGAGGACAGAGCTGATTCCACCTGCTCAATTTGGAAAAGCCACAGAGCTCAGCACATCCCTCCCCTGCAGGGAATGGACAGTTCCCCCATGGAAAACCACAGCTGGAGGACACGAGGGGTTGGGAATGGCTGACCCACCCCACAGAGGCAGCCCAAGGGTGGATTTGTGGCATTCCACAGCTGCCTTTACACCCATAGGTCCTGCAACAAAGGAGAACAACCACCACCCCTGCACACACGAGGGGAACACTGACCACAGACAGGGACACTCCTGGGTTTCCTCCTGGGAACGTGCACAGGCAGCCAGATCCCTGGGGGATTCCCTGGGGGATTCCCTGGGGGATTCCCTGCATGCCACTGCTGCTCCTGGGGGTGACACTGCTCTGACCTGGCTTCCCCCTGAGCCAGTTCCATCTCCCAGTATAACTGGGGTCCCCCAATCCAGTTCCATCTCCCAGTGTAACTGGGGTCCCCCAATCCAGTTCCATCTCCCAGTATAACTGGGGTCCCCAATCCAGTTCCATCTCCCACTGTAACTGGGGTCCCCCAATCCAGTTCCATCTCCCAGTATAACTGGGGTCCCCAATCCAGTTCCATCTCCCACTGTAACTGGGGTCCCCCGATCCAGTTCCATCTCCCAGTATAACTGGGGTCCCCTGATCCAGTTCCATCTCCCAGTGTAACTGGGGTCCCCCAATCCAGTTCCATCTTTAATCCCTGGGATTCAGTTCCCTCTCCCAAACCAGCTGGAGTCCCCCTGACCCAGCTCTCTTTCCCACACACTGGACCCCCCGGTTCAGTTCCCTGTCCCAGCACAGCTCCATCCCATTCTCTCTGTGAGCACTGACATGGCAGTAACTCCCTGTCCCAAAATCCTCCTGCTGTCCTGACCATTCCCCCGGCCAGAGGAAACGGGCACTCCCCCCGAGCCCACAGATCCCCGGGAGGTGTGGCTGTGTCCCCAGCCAGCCCTGTGTCCCCCGGGAGGGCTGAGCAGAGCCAGGACCGACCTGCAGCGCCAGGGGGGCCTCCCGGTTGTACCGGCCGTCGTCCTGGAACGGGGAGGTCCTGGGGCCCCCCGACTGCCGCAGGCGGAAGCTGAACTGGGTGTCCCCAAGGCCACCTGGGACAGAGAACAGCACAGGGCTCAGGAGGGCTGGGCATGGCTCAGGGGGGCAGGGAGGGGGGGCTGCAAGGAGCTCCAGCGCTGAAACGGAGAGAACAGCATAAAGAAACCCCCGAGAGACAGCACGAGACAGGAGGGGAGGGAAGGAAGTGTCAGGAAAATGTTCTTCCCTGGCAGGGTGGGGAGCCCCTGGCCCAGGGTGCCCAGAGAAGCTGTGGCTGCCCCTGGATCCCTGGAAGTGTCCAAGGCCAGGTTGGACGGGGCTTGGAGCAACCTGGGCCAGTGGAAGGTGTCCCTGCCCATGGCAGGGGGTGGCACTGGACAATATTTGAGGCCCCTTCCCACCCAACCCATTCCATAAGCCCATGGAAGCTGTAGGAAACCAACAGTCAGGAGCCACCCTTAAATAACCAGGCTTGGATTGAGACTTAATTCTTATTGTCCCCTTTCTGGTTTATAAACCCAGGCTTTGGGAACACTTTTGCTGTGGAATTGTCCTCTCCCAGCTCCTGCTCCTCACTGGGCACTCACAAACACAGGAACGTGAGAGCCAAGAGCTGCCAGCTCAGGGAACCCTTCCTGGTTCTGGGGGATGTTTCACTGGCACAGGGGAAGCAGGAGTGCACGAGTTTATAGAGGAACCAGCCAGCAGATCACAGATTCTGTATGCAGACATCAACCAACAGGACAAGAAGCCTCTTTGCTCAGCCCTGAGGGCACCAGAACCCCAGTTCTAGAGGATGCAGCCCATCAGCCTGTGCTGCATCCCAGGGGATAACTCAGCCCTTCCATCCTGGACCCATTTCCTTCACCCCTGGTGCCACCTACCTGAGTAGGAGTCTGGGAAGGACAAGTAGCAGATACTCGTTTTCTGCAAAAAAACCCAAGACACCCAGTAAGAATCCCCCCATCAGAGCTGCTGAGTGGCTTAAAAATGGGAGAGAAAAAAGGGAATAAAGAGTTGTTACCTCTTTCTCTGTCAGTCTGAAGTCATGAGGATACACCAGCTGCCAAAGAGACGGGAGACAGTCAGTCAGTCAGTGTGTTCCCCGACTTCTACACACTAAAATGGCTCATTTTCCCCAAAGTAACAGATCCTACAAGGAGGTACCTTGGCCCACACAGCCTTTCCTGGTGGGAAAATGCAGGAATTGCAGGAGGCTTTAAACGGGCAGAGGAGGAAGGAGCCGGCCCAGGCTGAGACGGGACACGGAGATCTGTCCCCAGCCACGGGAACTCTGCTCCAGAGGCAGCTGCTTCTCAGCTCAGCAGCTCCAAGCAGTGCCTGACTCTCCTTTCCGGGCTATAAATAGCAGGGGTGGCACCGTGCCAGGGTGCTGGGAGTCCAGGGAGCCCTGACAGTTCCCCACGGGTTCCTTGGCAAGGGCGGCTCAGCCAGAGCCAAACTCCAGTGAACAGTGCCAGTGCCCAGCCCTCGCTCTGGGAGCAGGGACCTGCTGCAACACGGGGGGAGACATCCCAGGGCAGCTCCAGGGGCAGGAACACGGGCAGGGAAGGGTCTGGATGCTGCAGAGGGAAGGGATCAGCGAGGTCACAGGACACGCTGCCCTCTGCTCCATTTCTGCCTCAGGACACGGAGCACGTTCCCGGGGCTGGGACTGATTTAATCTCCAGGCAAACATGGACGTGGTTAATTCCCATGGAATAATGACCAGACCAGGAACAGGGAGACCTGGGCAGCTGATCCTGATTGCCCAGGAGCCCAGGAATCCCATGGCACACAGCTTTCCACATTTGCTGAAGGTCTAACTCAGGTCAAGAGTTGAGACGAGGCTCCTACTTCTCCTGCTGCATTTTGGGGGGTCTTTCTGCATGTAAATGGTTTGAAAACCAGGCCTTGACTTCCAGGGGTGGACTTGATGATCTTGGAGGTCTTTTCCAACCTTAATTATTCTCTGATTCTGCATCTTTAACTCCCCCTCCCTTTAAGTCTGACATTCCTCTATGTTTGGGGTGGGGGGAAAATCACTAAATATCCACAAGATTAAAACCCCCAAAATCCAAACCAGAGAGAATCCGTGTGGCTACAACTTCTCAGGAGCAAAAAAATGGTAAGTAAAAAGGAATGTTTGACGTGTGAAAGTCCAAAAGGGCTTAAGCCATGTTATAATGTGTGCTAAGTGCTCTCCCCATCCATGGGAATGAAGGAGTAAGGAGGAGACCCATGTTGTTGGAAATGGATCCAAACTCTGGATCCCGGGAGGTGCCAAGAGCTGCTGCCATGGCAACAGGGTCACATCCTAGGAAATGCCTGTGTTTGGGAAGGCTGGGCAGGGAGCAGCCTGTGCCAGTGACACCAGGGATGGTGTGGAACCACAGGGAGGGATTTCCAGCCTTTCTGTGGCTGTGGGGGGGACAAAAGTCAGAGCCTCGGGGGGTTGGAGGGCAAAGGGCTGGTGGGGAGGGCAGGGAGAGCATCCCAGACCTGGCTCCTCCCTCCCTGGCACCTTTCCCTTCTGTCATCGACTATTTGAAGAAATGTAAATGGGTGGAGGGGTCAGAGACAGAAATGACACCTAATTTCTGCAACGACCTGTGCTTTCCTTTCTAGCAGCTTTCCTGCTGTCTCTGCAAACAGCAGCACAGGGGGAACCCCTGGATTACAGAACATTTTGAATCTTTTTCAGAATCTTTTGAATCTCTGAAGCTTTCAGAGCTGAATTCCAGGCCAACGACAGAAGTACACCGAGAGACAGGGGCACGGAACATAAAACACGTGGAATTCAGGATCCTGAGCGGGCCCTAAGCAAGGGCTTGGCTGTGAGTCTGTACCCACAGACCCCCGAGTTTGTACCCACAGACCCCCGAGTTTGTACCCACAGACCCCCGAGTCTGTACCCACAAATGTGAGTTCGTACCCACAGAACCTGAGTTTGTACCCAGAGAACACTGAGTCTGTACCCAGAG